GACGAGACTCAAATGTAGCAAACACATTATCGCCACATACCAGCGAGTAAATATGGCGAGTCGTGGCGATAAGACGGTAGTTTCACGGCACGGACCTATTCAGCATCGATCCTACACATTGATTTAACACAATTCATCATACATTGAGTATTTCCATTTAAAAGCAAATTATATATCGCTAATCAATAATAGGTGTCCATTTAAATGGCAAAAGCAAGGTCGATACTTGACGATTGAAGCCGTAAACAAGATGTAATTCGTATTGTGCATAGTAGTACACACTTTGAAAAACGATTCGTATAGAGTATTAGGCCAACGGCGCGTGATGGATATTTAAATCGTACATAGTGCAGCATATTACACCATTATATCCAATAATCACTACTAGTCCATCGTTACCCGATAAATTCGCAGAACATTCAATGCCCCGATGTGTACCGTTTTACAAGTACAATTACTGTACCCACACGAACTAAGATAACTATTTACCGGATGCCAATCTGTGTTTGGCGTGTCCATGCTCAGTAGTGCCACCTTTATTACAACATGTATTCGGCACAACATGTAGGTAACCCAATTACGCGTTCCCCAAGTGTCCCAAATCGCGTATTAAATAACCACACTGGCTTTTTGGGAGGTATTGTTACCGTCGAGATTGTCAATTGTATTCTTTTTAATCGTAATTGTATATCATACAACGCAACTCGTACGACTGGTATATGAAGTGACCTTCAAACTGTCCGGGGCACAACGCATTAATCTTAACTCCTTTGTCGTCCGGGAAGGTGACAGGAACGCCTTATAGTAATCAGGCACGTCGTGAACCAATTAAACGCAACTTTGTGGCATACGTATCATCACACACAAGACGGTGCGTGGTAAGTTTCTGTAACCTAAAAACAAATAATGCTCTCATTTTATACGGCAATCAAACATTGATTTATAAAAATGCTCCTCACATACAATTCTCGCCATGTTATGACATAACACTGTGACTTATTAGACTGTGGTTATGGAATTTACCATGTTATCAATCGTCATAGACAAACTCTAACCCGAGACTTACAGCACAAATGAACAAATCAGATGTGAAAATATTTGATGATACTAATTACTGAGTAAAGTAGGCTGCTATACACATATCGTGAAATTTAAATCAAACCAGCGTGCCAACTGAAATTCCGAGGTCGTCATGTTGCCATTTATCCTTTTATATGGACCAGTTGTAAATATTGCTACTCAATTCCGTTTCGGACAAATCTCGCGCATTAATACATTGTAATATTCTTGACCCAAGATAACCCCGGGCGATGTACTTGTATTTACATATAAATATTCGATGAATTACTTCACAGTAAAAAAAAGTCCGAAGAACAAAACACACCCAAACGACCCCATAATAAGTAATTATAGAAAATGTGATGCAAATTTGTATCAGGAAATTAAATTTATGTACAGGAAATCTTTTAACCGTTTTAGTTTTTAATTGTCGAGGTAATACTACCTTGCTTTGTGAATTTACTAACTGTTCGTATCGGGCAGATGTATGATGTTAAATACGTCTTTAGTGGTGGTCTCAGTTACTCTATCCCCGTGTTCGTAGCCCTGTGCACGTGCAAATAAACCATTTGCACTTGGTAAACTTGAATCTGTTGGGTTATGTTATGCAGCTCGCAGGCAAGTTGTTCCATAGTCGTTCGGATAGTCGACTAGAACTTGACTGGGCCTCAGACATTATGTAGATAATTGCACAGTCGCGTTTGGTTACGTGTACGTACTTTTAATTAAAATCTTGTGCCCTTTCCGTAATTCGATAAGGAATACAGAGCGATGCAAAAGTTACCATAACATAACTCACATTCCAGCGTATCAACATCGTAGCAAAAATATTAAAAACGTATCCAAGATGTTTACAGTGTCGCTCTGAAATAACATTATCTGAGTTTTAGAAATATATTTTCCAATATCAGTGGAATGTAAAAAAAACAATCTTAAATAATCGCACAGTTGTAATGATGACGTCAGGAGTCTGGGTATGGTGACATTTCATCGATAAACCAACCAAGTTAATAAGAAATAGATATGTAAATAGATAAAAACTGCTGGTTCCGAAAAATATGATAGATAGTAAATAATATTTGATAATTGTTGCCTAAATTAACTATTCAAAATAGACAAGGATTAATAGATATTATCTACTATTATTTATCAAGTTAAAAAGAAATACGGAAATATAACAACCTTTCGTCTGAGACGGCCATTGTTGAGAATTTTTCACATCGTTCGCCGTTCGTACCCATCATCATACATTTTTTGTGTTTTGCAAATTAGGTCGACTCAGAGTATACTAGT